TAGATAGATAGGTAGGTAGATAGATAGGTAGGTAGATAGATAGGTAGGTAGATAGATAGGTAGGTAGATAGATAGGTAGGTAGATAGATAGGTAGGTAGGTATATAGGGAGGTAGGTAGGTAGGTAGGTAGGTAGGTTGGTAGGTATATTTTTATCTCCCAATTGCCCTCTTCCTAGAATCGGGCCAATCGACGATATTTGCGAGTGGGCTGCGTGACAAGGCTGACCAATCATTGGTAATTGCGAGGCTTAGGCTAGCCTTGGGATTTGACCATTTGACCATTTGACCACTGGCTGGCAGCTCCGGCCGGACACAGAAACACACAGGCACAGAGGAAACATTCCGGGCTCCGGTTTCGCTCCTGCCGTGGGCTCGAGCGCTGGCGCGAATGGAACGAATGGAAGATGCCATGTTCGACTTGAGGTTTTGGATCGACGAGACGAGCAACTTCAGTTTCTGACATCCGTGAGAGTGCCTGCCGCCTTCCGCGGAGCGTACGGGCTTCGGACCACGGCGCTGAGAAACCCTTCCAAAGGTGTTCTTTTGGCTGGAGACGGGCAAGAAAGCATTCACAGTGTGATTTCGCGAACACCGCCCAGGACATCAACCTGGTGCAAAAGGCCATTCTCGACCAAGAGCCGTGGGAGAAGAGACCTTGTTGGTGCCTCTGCCTTGGAAGCTTGTCCAAACCCCGGAGCCCGGCAAGTTCACAGTTGGTGTCATATGGGACGATGGGTGAGTTGCCTCCGTCCACGTTTGTCCTGGCCCTGGGGAGTGATGGCCGAGACTGCTTGCCATTTGATCCTAGTACTTCCCATATTCCCCTGCAATGGCCTGTGCTCCGAGATTGAGAACTGACGAATCATCTGCGCAGAATGGGTCACCCGCATCCGCCTGTGACTCGCGGCCTCAAGCATGCGGTTTCCAACCTGAAGGAGGCGGGCGTCAAAGTGGTGGATCTTGAGCCGTACGAACACAAAAGAGGGATGGAAATCCTCAAGGCGCTCTACTTCCCAGACGCGGCGCAATGTCAGAAAGATCTCCTTACAAAGGGCGGCGAGCCGGTAGCACCATTGACCCAATGGGCCTTCAGCATAGCAAGACCGGAGCCGATCAGCGTCACCGACAATCGGGAGCTGAACGACCAACAAGAAGAATACAGAGAGCAGGGTAGGTCTGCCTTCCTTCACACGGCCGATCCTGTGGCTGACTTGATCAACTCACAGTTATCATCGCGTCATGAAAGACCGCTGTGTCGATTTCATCCTTTGCCCGGCATATATTGGGGTGGCAGCCGAGCTCGCCACAGCACAATACTGGCCGTACACGGCCATCTGGAACATTCTCGACCAGCCCGCCGTTGCCTTTCCCACCGGGTTGAAGGTGGATGCCAAGCTCGACGTGGTCGAGGCCGACTACAAGCCACGGTCGGCAGAGGATGAGCGCGAATACAAGAAATGTTAGTCTTGACTCTTCTCCCCCAGGCCTTAGCCCCCTCCCTACCGTTCACGGGCCTAGACTCCTAAGCCTACCTGTGGAAGGGCTTAGGCTGTAGAGTACTCCGTATTCTCGATGTCGGTGAAATAGCGGCCTAAACCTGCTGCGGCGAGCCGCCCCCGATCGGGCAGACCAGCCGCGCCAATCCCTAGCCGCTTTGACGGAGCCTATATCTTGGACCTGCGCCCGCCTTGCCGGGCTGGTCGAAGGCCTTTCCTCTCGTTATTCTGGTGCCATTACATTACACGACGCGGTATCATTGAGACCGTTCTCCCTTTCTCCCACATCTCCTTCCCCTAGGGCCCCGCTCGGCCGCCCAATAGCAAAAATCTCGCAAGCACGCTGTCACGCCGATCTGGGTGGCCTACTTCGCGGTGCTCGGGCGAGCTTTTCTGGCGATACGGTGATGGTCGCGCTGCTTGGAGTTCGATTCATCGTGGTCATTGGGTGCGGGTGCAGCCGGCACTAAGGACACGTGTCCCCTCCGGGGTGCGCGCTTACCCACTAAGGCCTACGAGTATTTCCTCGAGGCGATGAAGCGTTTTATGATCAAAAGTTTAGAAAGTCTCTCTATCTCGTCCCGATCCTAGTTCAGAGGCTTTGTTGCATCTACAGTGATGTGCGAAAGTGGTGTCCTAAAACCCATAAAAATTCGTTGAAAGGCGATCGCGTCTGCTCCACTTTGGGGCTGCGCTTAGCTTAAAATGGCAATTTCAAGCTTCACTGTTCGACTAATGAACTTGCCACGCTAACGGGTCCGCACCGATCTTACTTTACATACATTATTCCCTCCGGGTTATTTGAAGCTTATTATTTAGCCATGTTATTTACCACGGAGGTTCTGGTCGGAGTCCTTAGGCAGCCCTGCAGCTCGCCAAGCAATTACCCCCCGGTGAAATTAAGCCCTTCTTCTATCGCGGCTCACACCCCTACAGTCGTAAAATCTGCTATAGCGCTTCCTGCAAGCTGCAACAACAGATAGTATCACACAGCTCCGAGCAAGGACAACGCTTGAGGATACGACTTTCGGCAGGAGAAAGCTTCACACCGACCGAAAATGTTGTTAAAGTTGTTCTTAAATACGTATAACATTTAATTATTGTCTCTTTTTCCGCGCCGTCTATAACGCCTCGTCAGGACATAATTCAGGATCAGATTATTTAATGGTAGGCTTGAACGAGGTCGAAGAGGCGGCTTTGTGGCAATTTTGACAGTGGTTAACCTCCCACGTGTCACGAATCGTTCCTCCAAAGAGTCACGTGTTCGATCAGGGGTACTGATGAGCGGAAGAAGGGGCTTCGATACGTATGCTAGAGCAAGGGTGTCTATGTTCAGAACGAAAACTATTGATGAAATGTATCACCTAGTTTGTGAACGAAGTTGACTACGAAGGGGCTACGGAAGGTGGGCGAAGCCCACAACTATATAGGCATAAGAGACTCATATCTTCCTTGTGCTCTATTCGTCCTGCGTGCTCCGTCAGAGCACCAGAGCAAACAGAGCACCATCATAGGTCACGTGACCTATAGCCCTATGGGTTAGTGCCGCGTCTGTTATCCAATCGGCAAATCTGCCTCTTCGCATGTTGTCTGGGTGCGGGCGACCTCCTGTCGACCCGGATCCTGACACCACGGCGAGAATGTGAGACGCTCTTAAAGTTTTCAGCTTTCTGCTGATCGTGATAGGAAAGTCGAGATCCTACTCCGTTTATATCCACTACCCCTGTCACGGTGGCATAGAGCAACGAGCAAACGTGTCATGCAATTTATGATATGAATACTAAGACGAGAGAGAGTAAGAAGGAGAGTTGCGAGAAGCGCAACGAGCATAAGGCTCTCTCTCGAGGTCACATGTACAACAAGGCTATGCCAAGCCTGTTGCCAAGCTTCCATGGTCACGTGGCCTACCAGGTCACATGGTGTCATATGCCTTATGTGGTGGCCCAACCGTGACAACCCCCGGCCCCTTACGCGCTTTCAACAAAGCTGCACATAATAAATACCAAGGCCGCGGGGACATCGAAATAGTCTTGATTGATGGATAGGGTCTTAATAAGGCCAACGTTGTCCGTTATAACGAACGAGGTAAGGCCTTAGGTATAGAGCAGAACTACCTCTTCGAGACTGAGTACCTTAAATGGAAGTGCATTCCGTGCACCGCGATCATTAAGAGGTAGTCTTAGGATATAATACGTTCGATATTTGATGGGAATCTCGAAGGTTTGAAGAATCAACTGAGAACTGCCAGGATTTTTAATATCTTAACCTACGAAGACTGGTCCATCGAGCGCAATGGAATAGAAGAACGGGCATGCGCGGAATGTAGAGCGCCGAGCTTAAGAAGCAGTCTTTATTGTCTACCCTGAAACGTAATGGCCTAGAGATCCCTACGCTGTCACGTCGTCACCCACCTCGCGGCCCTTTTGAAACTAACTCTATTAAGACGTAAGTGATACTGCAACTATAATTCTGTCACAGGAAAAGGCTAATAAGAAGACCTCGTGGAGGCGATGTCTCTCGCCCGCTCGGTTTTCTTGTTAGTATGTGTATTACCACCATCTTTGAAAGCCCATACCTTCTTTAGAACTCTTCAAGATTAAAATAGGGGTATACAGAGGCGCAATATAAGGATAGGGTATATGGCGTATTTAATGTCGACAGAACGCAGGTGTCGCTGCTAAGGGTCTCTATCTGTAAAGGTCTTGATAGCTATAATGTCTTCTTGAAGAAGTCTCTCATATCAACACTCTTATCGAAAACTCCCACAGCTGCAGCAGAATTGTTGTGAGTCGTTACGTCTTTGATCCGCTGGTGGACTTTTCCGACGACACTCTCCGGCAATCCTACTAAAGCCCTTGAATCATCAGAAGTCCTGATGTTACCAATATCCTGGCCCGTCCGTTCGGATCGCACCTGGTAGAATACCACTGCAGAGGAAACTTGGTCAGCCTCTAGTAAGCGCGACTGCTTTTCAACCTCCTGAAGAGCGAGAGTCCGCTGTGCGCCACCATCTTCTTCGTCGGCTGGCTCCCTTTGGAGCTCCTGCCTACGCCTTTGTGCTTCATCTTGCTGATTCTTGGTGAGATTTATATGCTCCTGAATTTTGTCCTCGAGAGCCTGTAGTTTCGTCCTTAGTTTCTCGCTATCAGTCTGCAGCTTATATTCAGAGCGGAGTTGAACGATTCTTTCTCGAGCGTTAGTACACATCCGCGAGCGTGGTATATAAAGGGTCGCCTACAGCTGGGTACTTGCAATGGCGAATTGGACCGTAGCCTGGCAAGACTGAACTTGCATTCGAAATGTCCGAATTTTCTCTTTATTCCATATTCCGACTGAAAAGCGATCTCTGAGTGAAAATTTCTGGTCGCTGGAATGTTTCGTCCATTGCTTCAGGTTGTCCATAAAGTCAGCGCATGCCTGACCGCACTTGTTCACAGCCTCGCCGACACCAGTGTTCTCCAGATCGGCTTTGGCTGCGGCGTAAGTCTTCCGGTCTGAAATGGTGAGTTCTTCTAGAGCGGCCAACGGACGCTGTACGTCCTCTAGGTTTGAAACAATGTCTTGAACCACCTCTTTAGCTTCGGCGACATTGTCGATAAATTCACGGAGTCGGACGATGCTATCGATGGCAAATTGCGTGATGCCAATAGTGCTTGCAGTAAGACTGAGGGGATCCATGAGTTCCGGGTTTCGGCCTTGCGGGATTGGTGAATGATAGCCACACGAAACTAGAACAATGGTAACAGCAGAAGAGAGATGTTCTTCTAGTAGATGGCCGTCATCGAAGGGAGTTCTAAACGAAGCAGAGAAAAGCGGCGGTCGTAGCTGTATTCAAGGTGGGGGTTTGCTCTCCAGCTGAATACGCTGCGGGGCTGCAACGAATCATCGTGCACATCTCAAGGCTGCCACTCACCAAGGAATTTTCTTGTTGATTTGAACAGCGATAAAGAATAACCGTTTACTGCTGAACTATTCAGGCCTTCTTAACGCACCGCAACGTGGGGAGATTGTCACAGAACTAGCGCTGATCCTTACTCCACTGGCAATTGCTGGTGCTATTGTCGCTCCGGGCCCTATGGCGGGCAGCAATCAAGACATCAGCGGGGTGTCTATCACCGACCATTCACGGGCCGCAGTGGGTACCTTCCACGGACCGGTGTACCTGGGAAACGATAAAAGCGAGTGTATCTTGAGTTTTGCTCGCTATGAGAAGAAGCTAATCTGTCATCTAGACCTCAACAATATACTCAATTCCCTCCCTATCGCTGCAGACGCGCCGTGCAACGCATATAATCGACAACACGACCCGGTCTGCCTTCCCAATACCCGCAAGGAACTCCGCCGAGAGATATACGACTGGGCTGATGGGAAAACCTCACGCAGTATCTACTGGCTGCATGGTATGGCCGGCACTGGCAAGTCTACCATCGCGCGAACTGTTGCCGCCAGATGCTCTAAGAAGGAGGCCCTTGGAGCAAGCTTTTTCTTTTCAAGAGGCAGCGGGGATGCTGGTTATGCTGGCAAGTTCGTCACAAGCATTGCAGTGCAGCTTGCGAACAATGTGCAGCCTTTGAAGCAGGCCATATGCGACGCCATTTCTGCGCATAGCGACATCGCTAACCGGGCTCTGGCCGAACAATGGCGCTATCTGGTTCAAGGTCCCCTATCAAAGTTGGGAGACAGTAGCAGCCGATCTCAGTATATTCTAGTGATTGACGCGCTCGATGAGTGCGAGGGTGAGGACAACATCCGGATCATTCTGCAACTCTTAGCGGGAGTTCGGGTATCGGAGAGGGTTCAGCTTCGAGTGTTCTTGACCAGCAGACCCGAGGTTCCAATCAGGAACAGCTTTGACCAAATGCCCGATGTCGAGCGCCAGGAGTTTATTCTACACAGTATATCGCAGTCGGTTGTTAACCACGACATCCGTATTTTCCTGCAACACAACCTCAACCTTATCACCCAGGAACGCTCCCTCCCCACTGACTGGCTAAAAGAGAAGGACATCGAGAGCCTTGTCCAGAATGCAAGTGGTCTATTTATCTGGGCAGCAACTGCATACCGCTTCATCCGCGAAGGGAAGAGCTTTGCAGCAAAGAGACTTTCTCGGATCTTAGAGCATGGCAGCTCTATGGTCAACGGGCCAGAGAAGCATTTGAACGAAATGTATAAGGCTATTCTTCGCCACTACATTTCAGAGTATGAGGATGAAGAGGGAGAAGAGCAACAATCCATACTGAAAAGCTTGCTTGGAAATATTGTGACTCTGCTCTCTCCGCTTTCTACCCAGTCCTTAAGTGAGCTACTTGGCGCCCGTCAAGATGAAATCGATCAGACACTGCATGATCTCCACGCGATTCTCGACATTCCAAAGGATTCAAGCCGCCCACTCCGTCTACATCACCCTTCATTCCGGGATTTCCTTTACGAGAAAGTGAGATGCGAAGAGTTCTGGGTGGACGAGAAGCAAGCACATCATACCCTGGCCACAAAATGCATTCAGCTCATGTCCAAATGTTTCGAGCAGGAAAATAGAATCGTTCGGCCACAGGCACTTGTTGCGATATGTGATACGAACCGGCCAGGTACACTTGTGACGGAAGTTGACAGCAAGCAAGTGGAGCTGTATCTCCCTCCTGAAATGCAGTACGCATGTCGCTACTGGATTCAGCACCTTCAGAAGAGCAGTATTCAGCTCTACGACAATGACCAAGTGCATTGCTTCTTACAGGACCATCTTCTTCACTGGCTTGAGGCTCTTGGATGGATGAGGAAGTTGGCGGAAGGAATTCATGCCATTCTTATGTTAGATCCCATGACCACGGTAAGCGAAACTGTAAGAAAGCGCGCGTATAAAGCTAATATAGAAGACTTAGTCACAGCAGTGTCCCCGAATGTCCGAGTTTGTCCATGATGCTAAACGATTCACCCTATACAGCCGGTCAGCGATCGAGCAAGCTCCCATACAGACATATTGCAGTGCACTTGCATTTGCACCGATGAAGAGTATAGTGAGGCAGCAGTTCAGCGGTTGTGCGCATCGATGGATACAAAGATTACCGAAAGTTGAAAATAACTGGGATGCGTCACTGCAGACGCTCGAGGGCCACTCAGATTCGGTCTACGCCGTGGCCTTCTCGCCAGACGGGAAGCTACTGGCGTCGGCCTCTGATGACAGGACGGTTAGGCTGTGGGACGCCGGCTCGGGAGAG